ATTTTATAATATATATTGGGGATAGGATGGTTTAGTGGGTTTTTACTAAATTCAGAGGCCTAAGATTCTATTCCTCGCAGGAGTAAGCCTGTCCAAAAATCCGAGTGATGCTGGCGATTCACCTGTATTTCTATCGCCAAGGAACTTCCCGCCATATTTGTCCAAGAAGACAAACCAGTGGAGCGAGTTTAACCAGTAAAACTCTTTAAAAAAAAAATACTCATATTGCAGGAAAACTCGAATTGAAAATGTTTATCGTGGTTTCAACGCGGTGATTCTAGCCGTTTTGGTATTAATTTTTGACGGCATTTCAATGGCATTTTTCTTTCGAAGTGCTGAAATGTATCGTAATAACCGTAATCGTCTAAAACTGATAATGAACGAAGATTTTATATGGCGATTTGTAACCAATTTTTTTCAATAATCATTAACCACTCAATTCAAATGATCAATAAGTAGTTCGATAGCAATAGTTGATCTGGTCGTGAAACAAACAGTTTATTCGTGAAACACTTTCGTCCAACGGTGAAAAATGAATTTATTTGAGAATCCAAGAGAACCTTAAGAACCCAAATTTGGCAACAAATCCCTGAATAATTCCTGAGCGAGGATTTTAAATAAAAGCTTATGGATTTGGGATTAAAGATAAGACTTCAACAGATTAACATTGGGTGTTCGAATTATTCAAATTTGATTTTTATAATAAACTTTTTTATTTACAGTATGTCGACGCATATTTTATCCAAATTCTCCAAATTATGGAATGTTTATTTTTAATTATTCTCACAATTATCGCATATTTTTTTGTTTTTTATACAGCTCAAAAAGTATTGAAAGACGTTAAAACTCGCACAAAGTGCAATAAAGCTAAAAAATTGCATCACCAAGTTACCTTTGCTATGTTTCTTCAGGTACAACTCTTCCAGAATCTTTTGACCAGTACCATCGTTATTCCAGTAACCTAATCCTATCATTATATTCGAATTTTCTAATTTAGACTTTTTAAACTTCCTTTAATGTCGATTTGGTAACAGCGGATGGTGTTTTTTTATTTATATAGCTCACCCAATAAAATTTAAGAATTAACCTGAATTCTACTAAAATCTTTTTCATGTAGAAGATGATTTTTAAAAAATTTGGAAAAAATTTTCTTTTCAGGCAATTTCACCACTAATTTGTCTTTGTATACCGTTGATATTTCATTCGATATGTCTTCTAATAAAATGGCAAATAGGATTTTACGCTTCCATACTTCTAATTTTATTCAATTGGCAAGCCTGTGCTCATCCGTTCATTTCATTGTGTTTTGTTGGACCATTTAGAAAAAGAATTATGGAATATTTTTATTGTCATTCTCCACTAATTAACAAAATATCACCGATACAAATTGCTAAAGCAAATCATACAGCATAGATTTAATGATAAAAAATAAAGAAACTCTTAAAAAGTAAACTCTTTTTAAGAAGTAAAAAAAAAGTAACTCTTTAAATTGAAATTTCTTTAAATTAACTCCTTAACTCTTTAAATTAAATTGAAATGGAAAGATTGAAAATTGTATTTATGAAATGAATATCGCATTGAAAAATGGTTCAGTGAAAAAATAGAATATACATGAATTGTTATAGTATCTAATTAAAATAATATTTATAAAATCACGCAATTTCCTTGCCCGAAGCGTTAATTACTGCAACAAATTGCCTATCACCAAGTACGGTGTTGTTTTTGCTTCCTTTCTCCTCTATCCTATCACCTCCATTCCACTTCCTGCTCCATCTCGTTGCTTTAGGTATATACTTGATAGCATGAACTGCTCAAAATAATAATGGTAATCTCAATTCTTTGTTAATCTTTAATCCATAATCAATAGAAATTTGGTTCTTTCATTATCAATATTATCAATCTTCTTAATTTTTTCTTGTTAACTTTTAAAACAATAATTTATTTCACTTTGTTTCTATTTAGTATTATTATTAATAAATGGCATTGTTAGTTTTATTTTAGTCTTCTTTTTCTAAATAAATAAAAATAGACGTGACTTGCTTGAAAAAAACATTTCGTAAAGCCAATAAGATCGAATAAATTTTGAGAGCACAGAGACTTAAAAATAAAATTTCACATTAACTTAATAATGGCTGTTTCATTTAATTAGCTGTTTTATTTTTCAATTTTCAATAAGCATTCGATAAGATTCGCAATATAACCATAAGCTTTTTTTCTAAATTCAAATTTTAGAAAAAATTTTTTTCATCTTATTTTATTGAACATTTGCAGTATAATAAATTTCCTAAATTTGCTTATCAGTTATTTCATCTTAATTGGTTTTATCTAATTTTGCTTAACACTCGTCTGATCTCATTAAAAATGTCAAGGAATATTTGCATTAAAATACTCTTTGAATTGCAATGTTATTGGAAATTTAATCAGAAAGTCTAATTTTTAATGGGCTAATAAATGATGCTTGTCGGTTATTATGAATTTTAAAAAATTCGCATTTCATGTATTGTTTTTTTGAATAAATCCGTACTGATAAATTATCATCGGAGTATCAAAGTTCACAAATATTACAAACGTTAATTCAACGGCGGAAATTGTTGAAACATGATTGCACAGTATGTTCTTGAGTGGAATGGATAAAAAACTGGCGAAACTTTCTTTCGATGATCTTATTTCGTGAGCAGATGCATTTGGTTGCGTATTAGTGTGCCCATTTCATTTTTCTTTTCTCCTTTTATCCGTTTTATTAATTTAACATTCGTTGCCCATTAGAATCAATGCCAGGATAATTATAGCCAAATTTTAATCGACTACGACGTATTATTACATACCATTGTTAAGCACTTGTAAATGTGAATCGCAAATCTCTAGTATGAGAAAGCGAGAAAAGATTATCGTGAGTGAGAATAATCGATGCACCTTTCATTTTGAGACAATTAATCGAATCAACTAAGTTCGCGTAAACGCTTAATGGTACTATGATCACGGAACAATATGAAACTTGCGTGCCTCTGGTCACGATAAATCTTCACACCGCGGTAAAAGATTGGCATGATTTATATGCGAAGACATATAAACAAGAAATAGTTTTAAAATATTTTCCTGCCAAAGCGCAACTTGATTGTCACAGCTTTAAAATGCCCTTTTAAATCTATTGGGAATGAGCCTGGCGTGCCGTTACCTAAAGCGATGGTGTCAATTTTTCGCGAAATTTTTTTCGTGGTTGAGAAAATTTCTTTTTCCTGTTTATTGGAAGAAATAAAATTTAAATATTCTATGCAGTAATAATGAGTCTACTGGAAAAATATTAAAAAGTTCTAATTATATGAATGCTTAAGGATTTATGAAGTATTGTTCAATAACTATTTTATAGTTCAAATTATCCTATCAACGATTGGATTTTTCTGTAGCTTCAAACCTGAATTTATCATTTAAAAATCCGAATAATATGTTGGCGACTCGTACTTCTATTGCTAAATGAATAAGATTCCTGGCAAAAATTTTTAATGATCAGCGGGTAATGATGAACGCTAGCAACTTGCTTTTAGACCAACTTATTCAAACTAAACCATATGTTAAAAATCCTAAATGGCTGAATACCCTAAGGAATCATTATTTATGTTTATATTATTTAGAATTATTCAAAAAATACACTGAAAAAGAAATTTCGTCATCATCTATTTGTTAATTTTTAAAATTTGGATGATTTTATCAATAAAATTTAACTAAAAAACTTTATAAAATTTATAATTTCGGTGAAATTTCCATGAAAAATTGGATAAAAAATTAACTTTTTATTTTTAAAATTTCTTTTTTAAGAACGAATATTTGAATAGAAATTAAGAAATACGGGCCATTTAAGGCAATAAAATGATTAAGTTTATCCAAAATTCCATATAATTTCATTAAAAATCTTTTTAATTAATAATAATTAAGTAATAGGAAAAATTAGTTAATCACTTAGTTAAAATCAAAAAACAAACTAAATAAGAGTGCTAATTTACAGCTATAAACACTTTTTATAAAATTTTTCGATAATAAAACGAATATGTCCTTTCGAGCATTCATTATATATTAATCATTATAAATATTTATAAATAAAGTTTTATGGTCTTTTGTGGTTTTTGGCCAAAAGTAACTAGTTTTTCTGCACTAGGCCGAAATTTCTATTGGCTAGCCATTACGGTAGCAAAATTTCTACATGACTTTTAAATATATTTCCAACTCCACCATCTTTCTTTTCTATTGAGAGAATTTGTCAGACACCATGTTTATGGTTTAAGGCTTTGCGAATTTGATTAGAATATTTTTGGAATTATTTATATTTTATATTATTTATATTTGTATTATATTCACATTTTATATTATTATATTTGTATTTTATTTGATTATTTGTCTACTATTAGTATTGTCATTATTATTGTTATTAATATTATTATTATTATCATGGCTATTATATGAAATATTCGCGAATTTATATAATTCCTTCAAAATGAATTTGCATAAGAAAATTTTGCAAATTTATTTATTTAAAATTTAGAAACCACAAAAATCATAAAAACTGTAGAACACTGAAATGAATGTAAATCTGATTTTATACAAATAAAATTTAAATGATAAATTTTATTCGAATACTGCTGTTATATTGGATATAAATACATATATATATATATATATATATTTGAGTAGTTTTTCTAGCTATGATTGGCTCTACTGACTATTAGGATACTGCGGGCAGTGTCATTCTATCTTAAAAAATGGAGAAAGAAATTTTTTTGAAAATTTCAGAAAAATTTTAATGGCAAACCTACATCTTTTAATGAATAGGGGTCGAATCCATAACATTTATTCTTAATATATTGCTCAATGAACCTATATCCATTCGAATTTGTAAAGATAAAGTTTTCAAAAAGTCTTCAGGAAGTAATATTAGGGTTGATATTTGGCTATCTGCAGCATATTATGCACATTTTTAAAAAACTTACAATGATCATTATTAATTCAGCTTTGCAATGGAAGCAAAGTGCGATTTTGCTGAAGCGATGATTTATTCCAAAGAATTCAAAGTATCTTCAATTATTCGATTAGTGCTAGCAGTTATTGGAGTCTTCTTAGCAATCATCCTAATCCGTAACAGAAATAATTTTGTCCGTCTTCATGCAAATGCTAAACTTATCATGCTTAGTTATTTGGTTTGGACTTTGCTAATGGCAGTTTCTGCTGGCATTGTAAATGCCACAAATGTTTTACGGTATTAATTAATTAATAAATTGTGAATGTAATATATTTGCTTTTCTATATGTAGTATTATTTTTATACCAGCTTCTATTTTTGATCTGATTAGTGTAGAGTTTAAGCGAACACAAACACACTTGAAATATAGAAGAGAGGAACGGATTTCATTTTTAAGACCAGTATTTACTCCCACCCATAAATGGAGGGGCAGAAATCGAACTTATGGCACTTGATTTGAAATAAAGCGTCACTAATCCTAACATACACGTATATTACCGTTCGATAATCTTTTTCTTAAAATAAATACAATGAATTAAAAATAGAAGATTTATTGTTTATACGGTTTAATTCGTCAAGATTTTTAGATTCATGAACGTAACATTTGCGACTGGTTCAGCTGAATGTGTTTACTTAATTAGTGCTAAAATTGCATATCCGATCCGAACATTTGCTGTTTTTTGTGGATTTGGAGATGCTTTAACAATGATTTCTTTTATGATCGAACGTTCCATCGCATTTTTTGCATGTGGGACTTATGAGAAAAAATCATCGAGGAAGCTCGCTTTCTGTCTTATAATATTTGAGGTTTTTTTCCTTAAATATATAAAAATTTGATCGAAATAGCAAAATAGATTTTAAAGGAATTCAGATGTTATTATCATTCAAATAATATTTCTAATAAATGCATTCAAATGATTCCTTGGTTTTGTTGATAAAACGATTAGTATCAATGTGAAGTAATTATATAAAATAATGATATCAAATCAGTTATATATAAGTTTTTAGATAATCGGGTCAGTAGTTTCGGCCTGTGGCCCAAATATTTGGCAAACTAATTGGGAAGATATGAGAATTTTCATACAGTCAAGAACATCGACAAGCGAGCGATCCAGCGATGTAAGCCTTTTTAATTATTGGTGATTCCAAAAGTAGATTTAGGTACTAGGTAATTCGAAAAATTGACTTTATTAATTTGTTTTATTTATTTCATTTGTTAATAATAAGAAGATTGTCTTCAAAGAGAAATCATTTATTATAAGCCGTTTTATGTTTTATGTATTTGAATTAGTTCAGTAAAATTCTTAAATTTACGACTGCCACAGCATGTAATTCAGAATGTCGTTATAAAATTCTGTTTCAGTTTATACCAGTTCTCCATATAATTTACATACTTGTTGCATTAATTGGGTTGCATGCCTTGTTGGTCATGAATAATATTTGCATACAACAATCAAAAAAAATATTTAATTTCGGTTCATCTGCAACTGCTGCACTCAAACTTGGAGAAAAGTATCAATTAATTGTAAGTACCATTTTTTGCCTCTGTCAAAAAATAAAGTATATGAACGTTCAGAATCCAATGATGAAATCAAATTATGGAAATTGAAAAAAATCAGGTAAAAAAATAAATTGGAAAATAAGTGGAAATAGAAAAAATAGGAAATTGGAAAATGAATTTTCATCATTTTCCAACATTTTAAAGAATAAAATTGATTAAAGGTTGGTAAAAATGGTTGATGAGAAGCAAAACTAAGTTTTGGTGTTCTCAGTTCGATTAAGCAGTGCTGTTAATTTTGCAGCGAGATTATAATTTGTATCTATATAAGCAACATTAAATGATAAGTTAAGTGGTATGCTAAAATCTCAAGGAATGATTGACGAAAAAGATTTTTTTCCAGGAGAACAGGAATTCGATTCGATTTGTTCTTTTATTGTTTTGGACATCTTTTTTATTTAATGCGATTTCTCGTGCACTGGCATTTTTCAGAAATGTAATTTAATTTTAAAAATCTATAATTCGATGAAGAAATGAAGAATTAACTACTGTTAACTAATAATTTAACCACCTCTCTTAAGAAAAATCACCTTTTGATTTGACTGATTGCACTGACTATTAAGTGTTTCTATATATGAGGATATAGGTGGGTCTCCAGCAAAATTCACTCGAATTTCACTGACAGGCTTGCTCTATGAAAAGAAAAGAATCGAATTCTTGAAATGAACTATTGGAAGCCATTCGGAAGCCATGAACCATTCTATCCCCCGTCGTGGAAGTTGTTTATTATTCTTTCAGCTATATCAGCTATCAGTGGTGGCAAAATTAGAGATCTGTAGTTTTCATTGATTTTGGATTTAAATTTTCTGCGTCAGAATCCATAATAATGCGAAAATAAATATCTTACTTCGTTCTAATTAGAATTGAAAATTTGCGTAAAAATTTAATTATGGCAATGAAAAAAACAACAATTAAAAATTAATCAGTTTTCGAAATTTATTTTCTATTACTCAAAATTCGTGAGCAAAAGAATTTGATCTCCAATTATGAGATTTTCAGTTGTCGCACGATCCTCAAAAAGCTCCTCACATATATACGCTAACAGTTAATGTTTCGAATAGCATTATGCTTTTTCACCCGTACATATTGTTTGCATTTCTCTTGGTGCGATGTCCAGCAATGCGACAGAATTTCTCACTATATAAATCGCGCGAGAACGTTAGTTAAAGAAAATCTGTGGCTAATAATAATTATAATTATAATTTATTCTGTTATAATTATAATTATTATAATTATTTGTGATAATTATTATAATTAGTTATTATAATTATTTATTTATTTATTAATTATCATATAATTATTTTGAGCGCCTAAACAATCTAAATCTCAAAACATTTTATTCCTTGGCTAAGTCTGACAGAATCTTTTGAATACTTATAAATTCTGACCTTTTCTCAATCTAGTCTAAGACCCAAATCTAATTTAAACAGAGTCTTTAAATTCATTTTTATTTGTTTTCCACATCTGATCTGCTACTGTCGAAAATTTCGACGATTTAAATTTAAACTTTCTTTTGTAAATTGGACATGATAAAATTGTAGAAATTATTCTTCTTCTTCTAGCAGCTCACATCCATCACTGGTTAGGCTGGCTCCAAAAGGATAAGACGTTTCCAAGTAGCGCGGCGCGGTGCCATCATCAACAGTAATAGAAGCCATTCCTTTTTCCATCGTCTAAGTCCATATATTTCTGGTCAATCTCTATATTCAAAATTTTTCTTGATCGTATCAGTCCAGATCTTGATTGGCCCACCTCGCTTTTGACGCCATCCATCACACGAAATATGCAAATAACGAAATATGCGTCAACTCTTGTGGTGGACGACGGAGAACGTGCCATAATCACCGAAGGCGACGCTCTGTAATAACATCATTTATGCAAGTGGTATTTAAACGAAAGATCCGTAATATGTACTTTAGATAAGAGTGGTCAAAGGCAGATAGCTTCTTAATACCCTCCACTCTCATTGGCCATGTCTCAGGACCATATAGCAAGATCGAACGAATCACGGCTATATAGTTGCGGATTTTCGTGTTTATGGTGATTTCACGACGTCTCCATAGAGGTTTCGTCAATTGAAAGAACGCATTTCTGCACTGCAGTTGTAATGTCACCTTTTGCCTGGCTATTTGCTGTAAAAGTGGATCCAAGATATTTAAAATCGGACCCATCCTCAACCGGCAATGAAATTTATAAAAAAAGGCATTTTATCAATTTCTTGCACATAAAACGAAAAATCTTTCGTTTTACATTGACCGTAAGTCCGATTCTTGCTGCAGTTTCTAAAACGTTATTCAGCATTGCATTCCGTCATAACTATCAGCAAAAAGGACCACATCATCAGCGATCTGTGATACAATGCTCTGGACTGATTTGGACACCCCTTGAATACCGACAAGCGGTGTTACCCAGTCTATCGCATAGTTGAATATTGTAGGGGAGCCTTTACAGACACCAGTTCTTATTTCGAAAGAGTCTATCAGTTCTCCATATACATAAACCTGCGCCGACGTATGCTCATAAAATGCCTTTATGAGTCGAATGAATGAATGATTCTCTGGAACACCTAAGCATTCCATCACTCTCCAAAGTGCCTCTCTATTAATTGAATCAAAGGCAGCTGCAAAGTCGATGAAAACGTGACAGTGGTTGCAAATATCTGAAGCGATAGACACCCAACACCCTTCTTAACGTGAATATCTGGTCGGCACAACCGCGCTCCGATCTGAATTCAGCTTGATTAGGGCGCATCCTGCTATCTCGTACTTCCATAAGTCTGTTGAGTAAAAGGGACGCAAAAATTTCCGCTGAAATATCTAGTTGATTCCTCGATAATATGTCCTATCACCTTTCTTGAAAATTGGAAGCAGGATTGTTTTGTTCTAATCATCTGGTAATATTTCCTTTTCCCATACCAGAGAGTACATTTGTTGGTGTGTTATGAAGGACGATGGACTACATTTAAAGAGTTCAACTCTAAAACCATCTTCTCTCGGAGCCTTATTGGCCTTAAGCTCTGGATAACAGATATTATTTCTTCTCTTGTCCGGGGCTCGCAGGGGGCTTGCAATATGGTTCAGCGAACGTATCATTTATATCAAGGGCAACAGATGGCGCTTCATGGTTAAATTTGGCCTCAAAGAATTCTTTCCATCTTATGAGGTAGTCTTCAATACTCTTTATGGGCACGCCATTGCTCTCCCTTACCATTTCACTGATCGTTCCCCGAGTCATAGTTGCTTTATGAAGAAGGTGGAATAGTTTCCTATTATCTCCTTATCGAACCGCAGTGTCTATTTTCAATATCGCTCGAATAGCGATTTCTGAATCACCACTGTAACTATCGTTGCAATTCTTTGAAGTATTAGATAGTGAGGAAATTCTTGCTTTAACAGCCTTTTCGGAGTTGTACGATTGCGATTACGCTTCCGATTAGAGCATTTCTAGTACATTCTAGTATGGAAGTGGCTGGCTTTAGGAGACATATCTTTAATTAAGACTAGTATTCATCTTCCGTTTTAGAGACATATTCACTTCATTGAAGTGCTTAAGTCGGTTTGAAACTCACTTTCTGCCTCCGAATTTTTTAGTTTAAGACAGTAAAAAGATCTTATGACACTAATGACCAAAGCTCTATAAAACTTTCCTTTGAAGCGAACGTAACTCATATCGTCATTTACTCAGAGCGGACCGAGCTTTTTCAAACAATTGCTATATTACTTCCCCACGATTTATCCGAAAAAGTAGTATAGCTAGCACCTCTGCTCGAAGGTAGATTTGATAATTGCACGAGATGCACCTCCGACAAGCAGGCGACACGATGTTTGGAAAGATTGGGTAATGATCCCTTGACTTCCATAAACATCCTGATGTTTCAGCTGTTGCGGCTAACACTTCGCCACGCGTACAAAGAGTTGATGGACAATCTGTTTCTCCTCACAGATCACGGAAATTATTCTGGTTCGAGAGCATCCTATTTTGTAGCCTTTGAATCGTTTTACTACGTATAACATACTTATCATAAGTGTCATGAAACTGAATGTATCATTCAAATCAACATCATTAGGAGATTAGAATAAAGAGAAAAAAATAAAATTTAAAATATATGTACATAGGCATTTATAACATATTGGAAAAAGCTGGACCAAAAGACAATAGTGAAGCATCGAATATAGCAGCAGCAGGTACCAAGGACTAGATTATATGAGCAGGGCTCCCGGATTTAATTATTATTCAGAAATAAGCAAAAAATCTCTTTCAGAGGATTGTGAATATTGGAAAACTTAATGGAAATCAGACGTCAAATCAGGTATCAAAAAATTATTTTCAATATTTGCAAAATCAATGGACAATTGAAAAGAAGAATACTTGGGAAACAATTTCTAAACTCGGATCGAACTTTTTTAAAACCATTTTTTAGTCATTCTACGGAAAAAAAGATCATTCAGAATATTAAGTGTCGCGAATTGGACACCTTTTTCACTACATTCGTAGTTAAGACAAGGCCAACATTCAATATCTTGGGCTGAATAAGAATATGTATTGTACATCTACTGTGCATGAATTTAATTCCACTTTGATTATCTCACCATTTATGGACCCAACTGGCCCTAATGAAAAATGTTGCCCTAATCTGATTCATTAGAGAAAACCATTTCCTTTCATTATAGTATCATAATATATACATCTCATTATAGAAAACGATTTCATTGCCTAATTTTTGATATCTTAATGGTACTTCCTGCAAAAAATAAATCCAGTTACTTGAAATCTCCTTTTTTAAATAATTCCACAGTGTTGTATATATTTTATATTTTATGTTATAAATGTTTTATAAATTTCTATAAATTTTGGAGTTTAAAAAATGAATTTATCATTACCCATACAAATAAACAATAGTCATCACAACCGTAATTATTTTGGAATCACTAATTCGAAATATTATAATTCAAAATATTGCAACAATTTTGTTTCATATGAAAAATAATATCTCAAACATTGAGATATCTCAAAAAATTTGTTTTAAAAGAATTTATAGGAAATTAGAAATTTTAAATTTCCACTTAAATTTATCCTAGTTGCTAGTAATTAAAAAGAATTCCGCGTGGAATTTCTCGTGAAATCAAGTATAAAACAAAGGACTACACAATAAAAATAATTCCTTTTCAGCTCTTAGTATTTC